CTGGCGCAAGAGGTTATTTTTGGAACGAAGGCGGATGGATGGATGGATGAATGGATAGCTTCTAGAAGCGTATGTATGGTAGTCACAAGCCAGGGTGAGGTGAGGTGATGGAGCAAGAGCAACCCAAGTCAACGCTGCGGAATTCGTTGACTTGCCCGTGAAGTGACGAAGAATTCTCCGCAAGTGGCTTAAGAGGACAGAAAATTTCCGGAGAGCGAAACGCTTTCTATTTTTCTTCTTTTCTTTTCCATGAGAGCCATCCGTCATGCAGTTTCAATGTACAGTACACTGTACAGAAAAGCTTGATGCCCAGGTAGCCAGCCAATGAAGCAAGTACATCAACCAATCAAGAAAGAAAGAATTGGGTTCTCTCAACACCGCACACACATCCTCCACCACTCGGAAAATCTCCAGACAGAGAGTGGTGTGCTGGTGGCTTTCTCGAGTGGTGAAAGGAAGCAAAAAAAGTGATTAGAGTTTCGCCATATACTCCGTATGGTGAAGGTTCGTTAAACCGTGGGCGAGCGGGCGGGCGTCTAGAAAAGGGGGAGCGCTTACACAAAGCGGGTATGGTAACCGAAAAGCACGAAACATGATTGGGTCAGAAGAATTGTTCCCAAGCAGTCCAACCAATCAACCGAGTTGGATGTTGGATGTTGGCGGTTTGGGAGAAGCGCAAGTCAAATGTGCGGTCAAGATATCATTTGTGACTCGGAAATACTTTGTAAATCTAGATGGAGAAACTGAGCAGAGGTAGGTAGGTGTGGATTGTGCAATCCAGTGACAAGAGCTTTCTTCCATGAGCATACGTACACACCTGGAAATAGATCTCGTTGATTGGTACATTGGTACTATATTCCTGCAGAACGCAAGATGGTAGCGAGAAATTCTCTCACAACAGAGAGTCCGAAACTCAATGTTTCTTCCCGCATGTTTCTCATCCTCCGGTAATCTCCAAAAAAGAAGAGCTATAATAGCGAGGTAGTATAGTGCTTGGCGGCTAAATCATAGGCTCACCAGACCAAAAACTTGCAAGCCGTGGCTGTCGCTGTGCATGCGTCCAGCTGCAACCCCCCGCACCGGGTTCGTCATTGGATAAGAAGCTCGAAGATACCAACAGCTCGACAGGGCGAGTTGCCCATAGTTTTCTTGGGCTTGGACCGTCACACTGTTATGTACTTGGTACGTAAGGCGCGCGGATGCTGAAGTCGTTCGGTAGGTATGATCTGTACATATGTAGTGTGCTCTGCATCACTTCCGAGGCATTCGAAAGCAAGTTCTCATTATCGATGGTGGGACGGTAACGACGGAGGTACTCCGTTCTTCCTCCGTACACAGTCACTCGTACAAAGTAACCGTACTCCGTACCTTTGCCTTGCTGGGTACGTGAATCCCAGGATACGTTGTGTTTTATCCTACGTAAAACAAAGAGCGACCCATGAACAGCCCGCTGGGAGCAGAGAAGCGTCAGAGCACCTCTCAGCACAGTCCTTTCCCGCCGCGCTTAATCAACGCTTCCGAAGTCCCCGCGAGCTTCCCCGTTCCCCATTCATACAGGACAAACAGTATGAACGGTAGTTGGGCAAAACCAAGCCACCAAGAATCATCCACGCAATCCCTTGCAAGTCCTTTTAATTTGATCGGTTTGACCATGGCAATGCGTAAAAGTGATCAGCATGCCTCGTAGAATACCCAAAAGGACCTCTCGAGTTGGTGGTGGTGGTGGGGTTGGTGCAGATGCGATGCGAGAAAACAACATCTGCGAGAGATCGCAATACTACTGTACTCCAACCAACACGCCACGACCGTCTTGACCAACCGCGACCGAGTGACCGAGGGACTGACCTGCCTCGAACAGAATGACTCTCCGCTTGAGTGCGTGAAGAAGTCCCAGTGACCGGTATCCAATTGTCGATCGTGAAAGATGCTATTGGCTTACCATTATCTGCCGGCAATATTGTTACCCGCTCTTACCAGTTGCACCGACGCAAAGCCCGAGCAGAATCCAAGAAAATCCAGCCTCATCCCACCAAAGAGAAAGCACCAGTGACCGATCACGAACGGGGTACAAAGTGTGATGGTGACCTGCTTTTCACCCACCTTTTTTCATGTGTGTTGAAGCGCGCAAGCACCGTGGTGGCAACCGTACCACTCACCACGCTTAAATGACTTGAACCGCCATCCCAACTTCTCAGGGGTCGTGTAATAGGGGGGCATTGAGGATCGCTTGTCCCTTGGGTTGGGTGGATGAGTGGTCGTTGACCTGCCTGCGCTTCAAGCTCTCCGAAAGACGCCGCTCGGCAAATGTCAAGACTGGTTGACGCTGTAAGCGGGTCGCAGTCGTCACTAACCCAACCTCTTGATTTCTGCATGCCCGATTGATTATCGAGGGGACATGACCACCAACTTCTGCCGGTCCATGCAAGAGCGCTTTACTCTACCTATGAAATTCTCACCAAGTCCACATTTATCAACCCGTCTCTTGCCATGGCCGTTTGATGCTCAATCGATGAGCCTTCAGTCTGTTGACCAAGTTGGCGATAAGCTTGAATGGTCTATTCTGGTCAAAGATCCCTGTTCTGATCCTCTCGGAAGATTGTTTCATCGAGACACAATCGGGCTCGAGAGCGTGCAAGGGGCTCTCACTGGACATCTCCATCATCCCACTTCAACCGCCTTTTTTACACGGAAGCTCACGACCAGGATTTCAAGCGGCAGGAAGCTTCAGAGGGTGCTGCATGCCGCGGTGGTACGGACTTCGTATACGATGTCCAATTTGGCGTTTGTTCCTCTCATTTAGCCCGATGGAGAGGCGATGGACCGTCTCAGCCAGGTCATGACGTTCCCCTAACTACTGGATCAGGACGTCTAAGGAAGTTGTGATAGTGGGGGAACTATTAAAGGCTTCGAGTTTTGAACCGGCATTGGATGAAGAGCATGAACACAGCCTCTGTGGTTCTGCTGAGGTTTTTTGTGGGGTACTCGGTACGTCGGTCAACTCTGTGTGCTTCATCTGCTGATGAATGCTCCAGGAGTCAAGGTAAGCTGTGTATGGTATGGTATGGTAGCGTATGGATCGGTCGGTACGGCATGTGGAAATGGTGGGACTTTTGGGACTGGAGGGTGTGAGAGTATGGGAGTGTAGCCTTGCCTAATCGAGATAGACGCCGAAGGAGCAGCAACCAATTATGCGCTTGAGCAGGGGGCGCGGGTAGGACGCCAGCGTGTGATGGAACGACACCAGCATCAGTAGCTAGCCGCTTTATGGGTACGGAGTACTCGATCAAGGAGGGAGAAGCGAAGGGAAAAGAGGAAAGGGAAACATTCCCATTCAAAGTATGGAAGGATAGAATAGGATAAGTGGACTCTGATGAACTGGTTCTGGGCTGAGGAGAAAGTCTATCTCTCCATGTACCGCACCGCACTGCACCGCACCGCACCGCACCGCACCGCACCGCACCGCACCGCCATACATCATCCGAGTTTTGATACTCCGTATGATTGCTGAAGATGAGGGTTAAAAGAGGCGAGAAGAGGGCATCTCCACTGCACAGGACTTTGTAGCATTGCTTGCTCTCTACCCCTGTGATCAGTCATCTGCCGGTGCGAGCCTGCTCTGTACTTGGTATACAGATGAATGCAGCTGGATGCAGCTCATCTCACGCGGCTGCTGCTTTTCCTGCTGATGGGACGTTTGCCTATTTTGCTGCCCTTCTCAGAAGCTTCGGCTGGTGATTAGATTGGTGCTAGTGCTCGTGCTGGTACCACCGAACACAGAACACCGATCCCACTCTTTTGCTCATTTCACCCGTTGTGGTGGAAAGGGACGCTGAGTCGTTGGATAGGCGATACACGCACCAAATTGACATTGGATTCATTTCCAGGTACGAGGACGAGGACGAGGACGAGGACGTACCCATTTCATCTGTATTGCGCAACGTCTCCGTAGGTCGCGTAGTGTACCCGGTTGGCAGTGGGTTGCAAAGCAAGAGGGGTATGGGGGATGCCGATGCGATGTTGTTACGACGTATATAGAAGTAGAGATATATACAGAGAGAGTGCTGTACGGAAATACTTCTCATGTACAGTATGCACGTACCTATGCATATGGTCAATTGACGCCGGGGAAATGGTCCTTGACGGCTCGAACCATGTTAGCATGTCAGCGATGGCAATGGATAGGTCGTCGCCGTCTTATGCAGTGAGTAAAATTGTGTTCCCCTCTGCCTCAACCGAGGGCTCCAGCTGCGAGCATCGAATCTTTGGTCGCGATTATGAGTCGACTGCTACAACACAGGCGACTTCATCTGCGCTAGAGGAGATGCATGTGCGTGTGGTCTTGAGCTTGGTCTTGCTCTTTAGCGTCAGACGGTGATGTGCAGCCTCCTGTAAGTTGTAGCTGTACTTCCTCACCCTCCCACAATCCAATACCTGGAAGTGGAAGTCATGGGCTGCAGCTTCCTCAGTATTAGTGCTTAGTGCTCACTGCTCTCACCATGAATGCTGCACCAACAACTGCAGTCACTCCCTCACTGCACTGAAGGGTCAGCAGCCATTAAAGAGAAGCTTGTGTACTACCATCGCCAACAAGCACTCCACCTGAAGGGACGCTACTTTACTTCTACCAAGTACTTTCTTACTAGCTACTAGGTAGGCTCTTACTAAGGTACCCCGTAGCTGGTACTCCCGTACCCCCGTGCACTTGGTGTTCGAGTACCTGTACCTGTACTGAACCAGCCAGCTGATCGCCAATGCCCCCCTTCCTGGCAATTGTCCGCTGAACAGGAGGTACTGGACGGAGATGGAGCTCACACACCCAAAGTTAATCTCAGGGGCTCTCGATGGTCCCGACTCCCGCTCTGCCTGGGCTGGAAATTTAGCGACCACATCACTCCCACCACTCCAGGTCCCGCACCCGCAATAGGCGCGCAGCTATGCCCAGCTATGCCCCCCCCCAATCGTGGATTATCGTTCCGCCCTAAGCATGTCTGCATGTCTCCATGTCTCCCCCCGGGCCCCATCCCATGTATCCCATGACGAATTCTGGACAGGGCCAGCGTCAATATATTGGCACCCCAAGGCCCCAACGGCTGACTTCGAGTATTCTTTGCATCTTGCCTTGCACTTTGCGCTACCGGCCAGCTGGGTATCCGTCTTTATTACCTCGCCCGATCGCAATTGATCCAACTCCGCTTTCCAGTTGCTGTTGCTGTTGCTGTTGCTGTTGCTGTTGCTGTTGCTGTTGCTGTTGCTGTTGCTGTTGCTGTTGCTGTTGCTGTTGCTCCTACGTTCTCCCGTTGCAGTAGAAATCTATTTCCTGCTCCCGCGCCGCCACTTACCACTACCAGAACCACTCAGACCCAACGAGACCACTAGACCGACCCAAAGCTGCATCCAGAACCTGGAACTTGGACAATATCAGCCCAGCGAGCAACCACCACCGCTGTGCTCCGTCCCAGGCACAGGACCGTACCGCAGGAGAGCCAACTCCCGCTATTCATTGCTCGGGATCGACCAGGAAGCGACCTGTGAGAGTGTTTTGCCGACCGCGTCTGGGCAAGCCGAAGAAAGCGTCGATTGGATTGGAAGTCGTGAGGAGAGGAGGGTGCAGGTGCCGGTGCAGGTGCTGGTACTGGAGCAGGAGTAAGTGCGGGAGACGATAGAAAAGAAACGAGACCCCGAGTGTTCGTTTGAAGCCGTTCCGTTTCACTCCCTCTTTCTAAATTTATCGCATCTTATCGCGGCTGAGCCACGTGGGAGATCAGAGCGAGAGTGAGCGTGAGCGTGAGCGTGAGCGTGAGTGAACATCTATCTGCGCTTCTTCATTCCACACCATCGCGTCTCCGCTTCTCAAGAACATCGCAAGCACAGCCGAAGCTGGAAATCGCGCTTATCGGATTGTGGTGAGACTCTCAAGCAAAAACCACCGATCAATTGACCTTGGAGCAATTGACTTTCAACACTTGCCTCGAACGAATTGGCAAGTCAAAGCCATCTGGAAAGGAGCGGAAGAGGGGAAGGCGCAAGCGAGCTGGTCGCCGCTTCTTTAAAGTACACACAGGTACTCGTAGCAACAAGCCTCATCAGACAAGCCCCTACCATCAGAAGTTCCATCCCTCGCTCATTCACCAACCCAAACTGCGCCTGTCGGAGCATCAGAGCGAGGATCAGCTTCATCTACCAGAGAGGCCAAGAAAAAGCCCCAGATTCACTACATCGAACGACCTCGGGTGGAATTCACCGAAACCTCATCACCTGATCATCCGTGGTCTCTGGACATCTTGTCTTGAGCCTTCACAAGCGTCGTAAAGCTGGCGGAAGTACGAGCTCTCGTTCAGCTGGATCTTGCGGAATCGCATCCAAGACCAGCACACTACTCGCTGAGATTGTCGAGTGAACCAGTCACTCCACAGAGCCCCGTTGCCCGCGACAGTCGCGACCTGGTCAATCTTGCCAGGGAATCTCTGGTGAGCGGAACGAGAAAGACATCCCAGACGATTCCTCTGGCTGTAAGCATGACCACGGCCGATGATGACGAGAGGCTAGCGGTGACAGCTGTACAGCAAGAATCGCCGACCTCACGTTTCACAGCCGTGAATGGAAAGGACCAACTCCCGCAAAATGGGCCGGGCAACGTAAATGGGCCCCCTTCACGAAGGAACTCGGATGAGAGAGCAAATGGCCAACCAAGAATTGTGCCTCCGGGACAGGAAAAGCTAAAGATTTCGACATCAACTCAAAGGGAGGATTGGGGTGCTGCCAATGGAGACCGAAACCCTTATCACCAAGCACTATCTCACCCAAATACCCCTTACCCAGATACTGACGGATCTCACAAGCGAAAGAGATCTGATTCAATTGGCCAGAACGCGTCGGCAAATACATATCCCCACACACATTCATCATCCACAAAACAAACCCCAACGACAGCTACAACCACTACTACTGACGGCGACACACCCCGGGACCAAAACATGCCACCTCCTTCAGGGCATCCACATTCGTATGGCTCGGAAAGCCATTACCACGACAACGACGAGGTTCCTGATAGTGCCATCTCCATGCTGGAAAACGCACCACCCAGCGCTGTTTATGGAGGCGAGCCGTGGCACAGTCGATATCAACATGGTCACATGAGCGATGAGCGCCTTTCTGCGGCATTACGACGAGAAACGCAGAGCATTGATGCCCGGCAACGTGAATATGAAGATGGAAGCCCTGACGACGATCGATCTGCAAACCCATATGATAGCTACGGTAATGATAGAAGAGAAATGTCGGTACAGTCGGACCCCAAGAAGAGAAAGCGCAATTTCAGCAACCGAACCAAGACAGGATGCATGACTTGTAGACGACGGAAGAAGAAATGCGATGAAACCAAGCCAGAGTGTAAGTATTCACTCTCCCGCATCCAAAAATAAACATGCACATACTGACCAACCAATAAGGCACCAATTGTCTCCGAGGGGGGTTTGTTTGTTCTGGATACCAACAACGAGGCCCATGGCAGAAAACCGAGCAGAAGCAGGCGCTTATAGCACTGCAGTCAAAAACGGAATATGAAGGCCCAGCCTACCAATCATCGCCTTACGGTTTGGGACCGCCGCCGCGTAGGGAACCGTTGCCAGGTTATCGAGGTCAAGGCCTTCGTGTCGACCCACAACACGGCCGCCCCATTGATGTTGATGACGACCAGCCCAGTACTTCAACGCTACCCAGCGTTTCTGTTACAAGTCCTGACAATAATCGAGTTCCAACCATATCATACTCTGGACAAACAGCAACGCCCATCACAGCTTCAAGTAGTAGCCACCCGGATCGATTATTTAAGAAACCTTACGAGACACGGCCGGGACCTCTTCACGACCTTTCGAGACAAGAGACGCGACAAGAAGAGACCCTCACACCCCAATCAGCATCCTCGAACATAACTCAAATCATACATCCACAAATGAGTTCAGAAAGCCCTCACACCAATCCCCAGGTGGCAGCTCAACTAGCACTGGCAAACCTGGGCTCTACCACTCGACAACCTACCGCGAAGGAATTGATGCTGGCTGGCCGCCACTACTTTTCATTTGACAAGGAGCTTGTTCTTGAACGTGAGCGATGCAATGGATCATGTTGGCGTTTCAACGGAAGCACCAATCCCAACAATGGTGTCTCACCAGAAGAACGTGCCCGTCTCTTCCGAGATATCTTACAACCTAAAGAAATCTCCTCCCCAACTGGTACATCAGTTGTGAATCCAGCAGGTCGAGTTGGTGATAATGTGGTTGTGGAAGCACCATTCAATTGTGACTATGGTTATAATATTACCATTGGTCAAGATGTGGCCATTGGCAAGAATTGCACCATTCTCGACACCTGTCAAGTCACCATCGGCGATAGATGTAACATCGGACCCAACGTCAACATCTACACTACCACACTTCCCATCGATCCAAGAAAGAGAATGGGCTCCCGAGGTCTCAGCCTAGGAAAGAAGGTCACCATTGCGAACGATTGCTGGATCGGAGGCGGGGTGATTATCCTTCCGGGTATCCTAATTGGCGAAGGTAGTACGGTGGGAGCTGGATCCGTGGTGACAAGGGTAAGTTGATCAACTCTAATTTAACTCTTATTTTCAGCCGCACCAACAACTCCACCAACATGATCCTTCGAGATGCTAACTCAGCTCCTCGCCTAGGATGTTCCGAAATATACGGTTGTTTGCGGCAATCCTGCGAGGGTCTCTCGAGGCATCGGCACGTAATGGAAGGATGTACCATCGTCTCAACTATTTTTGACAGCCATTTTTTGGTGTTGTGTTGTGCTTTTCATGTTTGCGTTTCCTTGTGGACATCGACGACCCTGCCGACGAGTCTCCTTTTTTATACCCCTTGGGCTTTTGATATGTTATATCTGTTTATTCTCGGTTGGTGTGTTGGTGTATGGGAAGTGTGCACAAATACGTTACTTAACGATGAGGAGACCTTTTTCTTTTCTCTTCTTGTCCGGGAAGGAAGGGTCTTCCGGCTTCGTCTCTTCTTGTTTTTCTTTCTTGCACTAGTATCCTTCTTTTTTTTTTGTTTATACTTTTTCTCTTTCTTCATTCTTTTTTTTTCCTTCTCTTTTTTCATTTTCGAATGGAGGAAAAGGAAATGTGTGTATAGGTAGATATCATGTATCATGGGTATGCATGACAGGGAGGAATGGATGGATGGATGGGTGGATGGCATGGCATGGCATGGACGGACGGGATGAAAGAGTAGCGATAGGAACAGGGCAGGACAGGAATAGGAATAGGGATGGGGATAGGACAGGGATATGAACAGGACTGGTGGACATGGTATGGATGGATATTGGATATGGAGTTTACTAGTAGCTGGTTGCTAGTAGAACAGTACATTATATAAAAGGCATGTAAAGGAGGGAGGGATAGCTACCTAGATATGGATGGATGGATTCATGGGGAGAGGGATGAATAAGAAGTAATCATGATTATATTATATTATACCCATTACTTACTTTACTTTACTTGACTTATGGTCGTGGTTCTATAGAAACGAGGTAAGGCAGCAAGCAGCTTAACCTCACTTGTTTTTTTTTGTTTTTTTGTTTTTTGGCAGAGTAGAGTAGAGTAGAAAATAGGTAGATATAGGATATAAGAGCTTATTATTACCTTTCTCTCTTTCTCTCTTTCTCTCTTTATTAGATTATTCTCTAGTAGCGTAGGAACACTTCTAATCAAATACTTAGCCCGACTCGAGTAGTATTCGAGTTAAGTTAAATAAGTATAATTAGGTAATTCCGTTAAGTTAAGTAGTAGATTTAACTATTTAAGTAATACTCGAGTAGTTATATAAAACGTGACTAAGAGACCCTGTCCCTATTATATAGATTAATTATAAGGGGTCTAGCTAGCTTAGGTTTCCCTCCTACCCCCTTTCTTAATTACTTTCTAATATACCTCTATATAAGTCGGATAGTCTAATTAGTAAAGAGGGTTATATTATAGGCCTATACCCTGCCTATAACAAGTCGTATATAGGGAAGGGGGAGACGCGAGTTGTCGTAACTATTTATTAGCCCTAACTCCTAAGACGAGGGCACTTGGCTAAGTCCCCGTACGTAGACCGACCTACTAGGACCGACCGGAGGCCGGCGAGCGAGGCCGGGCGCGCTACTGGCTATCGGGCTATCGGGCCGACACTACTCGAGTTACTTATGAGTTAATCGAGTACTTGGCGAGTTAAGTTAAATAGCGAATTTCACTACTCGAGTTAAGTTAATTAGGTACTACTACTTAACTTAACTACTCGAATTTACCACGCTAGTTTTAAGTTTAATATAGTATTAACTTATATATAAATAAAAGATTCTTAAGTTTAGTAGATTTCTCTTAGCTTATATAAAAGTTATATAATACTAAGTAGATTATTTTAATAGGGTTTATAAGAGACTACTTTATATACCTCTAATCAAGGTGTGAGGGCGGGAATGTGGCTCGGTATAGTGTTTTGATGCTTCGCTTAGTGGTTGCAATAGTGGGTTGGAGTTGCCTAATCGGAGATAGTATGGAGCTGCCTAATGGGGAATAGCGTGGCCTCTTGTTGTGTACAAGTAATAGCTAGCTCTAGGACTTCTTAGCTGACTCGCGATCAATCTCAACCATATTCTGGAACAGTCTTTTGTACGCTCCTAGTGATACCCTGACATAAGGTAAATATTTTCCTTATAAATAAGGATTATAAAGAAGATAAGTATATTTTCCGCGGTTTTTATTCTATTAAAAAATATTTTTATATTTAGTAAGCTCCTAATTTGCATATATTTTTTTTATATAAAGAGTTAAAATGATTATCGCTGTAGTATCTAAGTGAATATACTCGGTAGCAAAGACTACATAACTAGGCTAGTCTGTCACGAATCACGTGCTCACGTGATACTTGTCATAATAAGAGGCGCAACCCTCGACAGGCACATCCAGGTTTCTTATAGCAAAATAGGGACGCTTAGGCTAGCTAAGCGATCCAGGGATTTCCTTTGGTTAAAATCACGTGACTCGCTTGGATCATGGAGGATCATATGAGCCAGTGTGAGCCGGATCAGATGGATCATGGTGATCCATATGATCCATAGAGAACGAAGGTTCTATATAAGACTGGCACGTCTGCCATTAGATAGGAGCTTCGTGCTCAACTTAGTTATCAATCTTATCATATTAGTTTGACATCTTTGATACAAGTAACGAGTTCACTTCCAAGTGAACAACCCGATAGTCTTCTTCTTATCATAGCATACCAACCAGCGAACACCCAGCCAAGTTTAGTTAGCCAGTTTGAGTATTCGTTACATAGTCCTGCCTATATTATCGCGGTATAATTTCTATACCTTTAACTCAGTATATATTAATAATAGGAATGGTCTAATACTAAGGTTTGTGTCACGAATCACGTGTTACCACGGGAGATAGTGAAGACCAGGCGGCGCCCTGACAGGTCGAGCATTATCATAACTCTTATAGCAGAAGGGTTTTGACATCTTTGATACAAGTAACGAGTTCACTTCCAAGTGAACAACCCGATAGTCTTCTTCTTATCATAGCATACCAACCAGCGAACACCCAGCCAAGTTTAGTTAGCCAGTTTGAGTATTCGTTACAGTTTGGCCTCTTCCTACATTATACCTTATATTTAATAGTAAAGTTAAACTAATACTAATTAGTATTACGCGCGTATAGATTAGAGACTTATAACACTTTTAAGACTTTGTTTACAAAGCTATTTACACTATAAATAAGCTAAAAGCACTTAATAACTCTACTACTATAAAACACTATAATACTACTATACTACCTTAACTACCTCCTAAAAATATACTATAAATACTAGAGATAGTAGAGTACTTATATTATCTCTCTAAATAATAGTAGTGTAACGAATACTCAAACTGGCTAACTAAACTTGGCTGGGTGTTCGCTGGTTGGTATGCTATGATAAGAAGAAGACTATCGGGTTGTTCACTTGGAAGTGAACTCGTTACTTGTATCAAAGATGTCAAACAAATATGATAAGATTGATAACTAAGTTGAGCACGAAGCTCCTACATACCCCGCGTATGGTCCGAGTATAGAGTAGTATAAGCCTTCCTTATACTTCCTTATACTCCGGTAGTATAGAGTAGTACAAGCCTCCCTTATACTTCCTCATACTCCCTAGTCACATGATCTTCTGTAAGGAAGAAATCCTTGGATCGCCTAGCTACCCTAAGCGATCCCC